ATCGAGTCGGACCCGACTCATAGCGACCCCTCCTTGGGTTTCCGAGGCAGTATCACTACAGAAGTAGGTTGCCCCATCTTCCTTCCGAGGAGTGGCTGGTGGGTTTGAACCGCCAGCCTTCTGGTGAGCAGTCAAGTGCTTAAGCCACTATGCTGCCAGAGCTCCCTTGAAAGACTTTTCATAGTCAATAAAATACAGGAAAAGAGCTTTCTGGTTTTCTTTGGTTATCTATATGGGATCAAATTGATACCAGCAACTTGAAAGATTAGATAACCTTAGTGGGTACTGTGGTACTGTGAGTAAAGTATTGGGCTGGTGACGAGAAGGTTGACTGTTCAAACCCTCGAGCTGCTCTGTGGGAAAAAGATGAGGCAGTCTGCTTCCTTAAAGATTTACAGCTGTGTAAACCCTCTGTAGCAGTTATACTTAGTCCTATAAGGTCAAAATGAGTTGGTAATCAACTCGATGGCAGTGGGTTTGTTTGTTTTGTTTGCTTTTTTGGTTTATGTTTATGTTTATGGTAGCGTAGTGCCTAAGGCATTTGACTGTTAACCAGAAGGCTGGTGGTTCAAACCCACCAGCCACTCCTCAGACAGAAGACTGGGCAATCTACTTCCTTAGAGATACTGCCTCAGAAACCCAAGGAGGTGTTGCTATGAGTGGGAACCAACTTGAGGGCAGTGAGTTTAGTTTGGTTATGTTAACGGGGAGGGACAACTCAGAAAAGGCCTGTAAGAATGATTGCACAACTTCAAAAATGTAATCAGCATGACTGAACTGTACGTGTAGGAATGGTTGTGTTGGTGTAAGTTATGCTGGGTGCATTCTCAACAATAACAAAATATAGAAAATTAAAAAAAAAAAAATGCTTGCTGGCCACTGCTGAAAGGGTAGCCATTTAACCAATAAAAGTTGCTTGTCTCACGGGATAATGGCCTCCTGTCATCCCCTAGACCATCAAGCCCTCCGACATTGCGACTGTCCGCACGCTGGGCCGACCCCCACACCTCATCATGAAGATCATGGACTGTGTGCTGCTGCTGTTTCAAAGGAAAGTCAATGCAGTGAAAGTGGACCTGGAGAGAAGCTGTACAGTCCCTTCCTGGCAGGAATCTTTAAAACTGATGACGGCAGGGAACTTTCTACAGAACTTACAGGTTGGTAGTTCAGCCATGTTGGGCTAGGAGGAGACGTGGCTTCATTGGAGCCTCCGAGGCTGCAAACAGAACACATTTCTACAGAGGAGTTGTTAACTCTACATGCATTGTTTAAGCATGTGTGTAAGGATTACATATAATTACACACACACATACACACACATGTATGCACATGTGTTTGTGTATGTATATATATGTGTGTATATGTATATGTATGTACAGGAGCTCTGGTGGCGTAGTGCCTAAGGCATCTGACTGCTGACCAGGAGGCTGGCGGTTCAAATCCACTGCACCAGCCACTCCTCGGAAGGAAGGCTGGGCAATCTACTTCCATAGAGACACCACCGTGGAAACCCAAGGAGGGGTCGCTGTGAGTCAGAACCAACTCATTGGCAGTGAGTTTAGTTTGGTTTGTACATACCTACCTACTTACCTACATACATATATACATGCATTCAAATATGTACATACGTTTATAGTTTCCAAGTCTGAGTAATAATTTTCTTGTGTATT